TCTCTCTCTCTCTCTCTCTCTCTCTCTCTCTCTCTCTCACACACACATTCTTTCTCTTGGATTTTTTTTGTTATTTATACACGGCTACAAGTGCGTATCTCGTCGGTGTGAAGATTCACGCTTTCAACGTGCCTTTCGTACGGTAGACTCCGCGTATCTTTTCTTCGCGGACCGATCATGTCGTGGCTTCGCCACCGACGGGAATCCATCGGTGTGATTTCGCCATCGATTCTTCACGCTCCATAGATACGGCACTGGCGTCACCTCCTTCCTGTCCCCTCTTCCAAGGATCCCCCTCCGCAAATGCATTAGCGGCGAGAGAGCTTTTAGTGACGTCACCCACATACAGATACGCACGCACGCACGCACGCACGCACGCACGCACGCGTCACACGCGCGCACGCATCACGCATACACATATACACACGTGCACGCGCAACACGCACGCGGATGGAGCGCCCGGGTTGCACGGGTGAAAGGAAAGTCCGTCCGCGGGAGAATGTGCGTGGGGTACTTCTGTTTCCACTTCCATCAAGCCCTGGTTTCGAGGACCCGGCCTAATCTTTTGTCTCGTCCTCCTCTTTCTCCTCCTCCTTCTCTGGTTCCTCTTCCTCCTCCTCCTCCGCCACCTTTTATCGGCGCTTTTTCAACAACCTCTTCGCACGTTCTAGAATACGAAATGCGCGTTGCAATTTTTCCGCCGCCACCGCCGTTGATGATCGCCGAGATTTTTACGATTTTATGAGATCACCCGATGACGGATGATATTCGGATACCCGAATCCTTCGCCGAACGAGGAGAAGTTCATCTGCAAAAATAACGAGAAAGTCGTAAAATACCTCCCATACTCTACACACGTTTAGAAAAGTGCTCGGAATATACCTTATTTTTTATTTTACTTTCATTACAAGGTGAGATGTACTATGAAATTTAATTGCATCTTTTTTTGTGATATCGTAAACTGGAGTTAGAATAAACGAGCCAGATGTGGATCGGGCACTAATTCTGGATCATTTATCATATTTAAAATAATTATTTGTTGTCAAGCGGTTATGTAAAGAATCGCATTTTAATTAAAGACAGCAAAATTTTAAGTAAAAATTTGATACAAAGGATTTTAATGAGCATTTTTATTTAAATGTGAAAAGAAAATACATGGCAAAAGATTTTTTTATATGTTTAATTAATTCTGTTGAGATTTATTGTTAATAGAAGACTCGAAAAACTAATTTGTTTGAAGTGGAAAGAACATAAAATAAAAAATAGTATTGTATATCTAATGTAAGAACTTTGTTATTTCAAGTATTATTGTTTCTAATTTAACTGTTTTTGATCGTTAAATATATAACTTTGAATATAATTTTCATTTTAATTTATAAAGCTGAACATATTACCATAATGCTAAAGTTACATCGTGATCCATTATTTACATTGTGCGATATGCAAGCGCAAATTATTTTTATTATTTTTATAGGATGCGTCTCCAAAAAGGAAAAACATTTTAAGAACTGATCCGCGACTAGTACCTGGGGTCTAATTGTAGATCATTTACATTATTTCATTTAATTAAAATTAAAAGATATATCTTTTAATAAAACAAAATATATAAAATATATAAATATAGTAAAACGGAACCAAATCATAAAAAAGAGAGATAAAATTAATTAAGTTAAAATTAATCCTGGAGCATACTTTGTCTGATTAATTATAATTATTGTTTTATTGTTAGTTTAATATTTTCCTAAATAAAAATATGAATTTTTATTCTGAGAGTGATCCATAATTAGTGCCCTTATTCTACGTAATGACGGGCTATTCTTTCCGACTGTTCAATGTATTGACAAATCATGATTCATTGACTTTCATCCTCGAAAATAATAAAGAAGGTTCGCTTTGATATTCATATGCCTCTCGATTTTACGCGAGTCATTACTCTCATTATTCGTTTTTATTCCACTCGGACATGTACTTTTATCAACAGTTTCGACGATAACATTTGTAATACAATAGTCGAGAGGCACGTGTTCGTTTTATAATCATCTTACAATGACTAGGAGATTCCGTTCGGCTTAAGCAAATATTCACCTGTTTTATACAGGCATTTTGCCTTTATTGCTCATCCGTTCGTATACGGACAATCGTGCAGCTCCGTTTATCGTTAGACCCCGTTCCGTATTATTGGTCAGGCTCGTCGCCTTATACGCGATACGGAGGATTCTCGAGAAAATGGAAGCGAGGGAGTCACCTCGTTACTAAATGGACCAGAAAAAGACGTCGTAAAGCGCGCGGCGGTGATAAAAACTCTCGCCAAATTAAAAATTCAGCTGATAAGCGGAGATTATAGACGCGCGGGGTCCTCCCTCGTTATCTTTATAACTGCTTGTATCGGCGTGTTTACCCGATGTATACGCGTTTCCGTACGGCCGAGGTGCAATCGAAAGCGGGATCGCGCTGCGTCGGACTCGACGTGGACATGCCGCGTATTCGAAATAGGAAAATAAAAGCGCACGAATCTGACGAGAAATACGTGGATTTTTTTTTGTTTCAAGGCGTATCGTTTCGTGCCATCCATTTCTTTGGCACTCGATGAGTCGCGACGCGTCTCACGAATGAGAGGAACGGCGGTTTCTAATCGATCCCAAATGTTTAAGAAAATCGAAACAAGGGAACGCTGGTAATTCATCCGCCCGCTGGGGTCGGGACAAACTTTCCGGTCTGGACCATTGCGCAAAGAGACGAATCGCTTTAAGGGGCTCGCCAATTCCCCGCGAACGTTTCCCAATCTAGTTCGTCGGCCAAACAAATCTGCAGTTCCACGTAAATCGCTGGAAACCGTCCGCGATCGGTTTAGCCGTGTGTCCCTCTGCCGCTCTAGAATTCATATGTGTATTTATGCGTGACTGCATCCCGGTTGATGCTGTCACGCACGGAAAAACGATTTCTCGATGACTGCAAACTGTATTCGTTGACCGTAAAATAAAAATAGGGGAGAATATAACGTATCTTCTGACAACGAGTCAAATGAATTGAAGTCCGAATGACGTATTCCGGACATGTCAAAGAAATGTAACAATTTATAACGGACGATAGTTACATTGTTAAGCGCAAAATATAAATTGCACACAGCGTACATTCTGTTGACCGTCTTTTTTATTTTTCAACGCATATATATTTTAAAACGTTTAACATCGACATCGAGAAAAAAAAAATTTTTTTTTTTTAATATATATCTAATAAAACTTTCTGCTTTTGGAGGTTCCTTATGTAACAATCGCAAGAATAAAAAGAATGATAATGACTCTGTGGATAAAATGCGAATGCAAATGTACAAACTGATCTCAAGAATCATAGAATCCACGCTATTTTATCGGCCTCTCATAGAATTCTCTAAAATCTTCTTCCCATCGGCTTGCTCTTTCCGTGACGCTTAGTTCGGAAAGAACTGGATTAACATAAAAGCATCTCCCGTTTATGGTCGCACGTACCCCGGTATATGCGTTCCTCGAAATTTCAACGTCCCGCGCTGGCGTCTTGTTTTCGTTCGCCCCGTATCAGAGAGTCGTGGCAGCCCTTTTTTCTTTCTGGATACGGATGGGATTGAATTTGTCAAGGCAGTGGTCAAACCACTTTTTAATGTTTCGTAGGAGATTATTTCGCTACCTCTCATGAGCTCGGCCGGTTCGTAACATTATCTTTTCCATCCGAGGTCCGCCCGGCGCAACAATAGTTCTTAAAAGATTATGCGCGTCAATATTTTCTGCCTGCGGCAGAATCTTTCGGAAATCAATAACAAATGTATGGCGGCAAACGTCTCCTTAAACTCTCGCTCTGTACGCGTTATTCAATCAAAGGGGAGCGGAAAGAAGATAATCAGATTTATTCTTCAAGGTATAAACTTTATAACGTGTACTCTCCGCGATATTATTATAGGTAAAGGCGAGATTGCTCAACTCGGATGAGATTTTCACAACAAGAAGTGATCGGACCATCGCGAACGCTGATATTTGAGAAATCGATCGTTGTGAGTCGTCGAAAAAAAAAAGACTGTCGTTTTCGATCGATTGAAATCTGAGCGTGATTTTTCGACGCGGCCCGCGGCGCGCATTGCGATACTCACGGCGGTCCAGAAGTGAAATAAAAGTGGACAAACGTGTAGCGTACGACTTTTCTATAGAATTCCTCGAACGGCTTATCGAGACCGAGGCTAAACCGTTTAGAACCCATATTCCTGTCTCCAGAATTCTTATCGAAAACCCTTTGACTCGTTACCACTAATTTAGCGTTCTAAATGCGCGTGTACGTGTGCGTGCTGCCCAACACGGCTGCCTCGGTCTAACGGGTCTGTAACAATGACTCAACCTATCAGGAATTCGCTGTGTCTGGCCGATCGACTGGAATTGGACGCTAAGTACATAACTAGCCGACCGGTGTGTGTAATGGTCTCCTGGTAAAAACTTTAGTGAAAAAAATTATGCTGAAATTCCTTTAATTCCCTCCGGGCACGGTGGCATGAGAAATTTACTGACTTCTTGATCGTTCGACGAGCACGCTCTTACAAAAAAATACAGGTAATGACTTTGATATCCAGTGTGTGGCTTCGTTCTGTTTCTTCCACATTTAATATACAGAATGTTTGATAGCGCTCGGTGTATCTCTGTGATCGGATCCTCCCTTTTCTTTCACATCTTAACAAACCTTTCGTCAGTTTTTGTCACTTTAATTGATACGTAATTGTACACTGTAATTGTACACACAGGTCTAATGGATTCCAGGTCTCACGTTTCTCGCTGTATCTTAGATACCCTTCCCCATTTCATTCACTGCGATTCTTTCGCGGTGTTAAGTAGACAAGAGTCAAGTAAATATACGTCTCTCTTTGGTCGCGAATCCTTCTTTTCGGATTTTAAATATACATTGACGATTCTGATACGTTTGTTTGTTCGTTTACGATGTTATCTCGATTTTAAGAGTCGATATTACTCCACGGAGTATACGATAGGAACAATAGGAGAGAATGTCGGAAATACTTTCTGATTACTTTTGTAATTTCATCTTTGTGCATTTAAGATCGGTCTATTCCAGAACTCGGATTATTTGCAATTTGCAACGAGATGCGAAGATCGATAAAACTTTCGATGTCCGTTTCCGATCAATGCCGAGTGCATAGACTACCGTGTCTAAAACGGGATTAAAGAGCAGGAAATAAAATTTGCTAAGAAAAAAATGTGACATTATTTCTCAGACTTTGTGCGGAACGCTTATAAAGGTATTACATTCGTTCATTGCAACCGCTGCGTTTCTTCTTTCACAGACCCTGACTAGTCTCGACGACCACGCTCAGACTCAGGATGTATCCGCCAATTCAACCGGAAATGGTACAGTGGCTGCCAGCGCGACGCAATTGCTGTGCAGCCTGATCCCTGAAGAGCCCTTTGAGAAAACGGTCTTGCAGACTCGCGTTCAAGATATTGCCGGGTAAGTCTTTCAAACGCTCAATTTATGAGTATAGTTTTACGCCATGTGATCTTTGAAACTTCGATATTGGCGTCGCGTAAGAACCCAATCCTTTTAAATGATAATAACGTTTTTATTAACGTATATATATTCGTAAGTCAATCCTCCCTCTCGCAAAGGACCTGCATTACTTCGTATTATAGAATGGCTCAAATAATGTTTTTACAATACAATATTTGTAACCTGTTTTTTATTCCACTTTTTTTCAAAAATATTTCCATTGTGTTATAATTTCTTTACGAAGAAAGAGAAATTCTTTTTCGTAATTTTTAGCAATTTTTATAATGCCTGATTTTCCAAATTTGTGAAATTAGCGCGAAACTAATTCAAAAGCGTTCGTTAATTTGGAAAATTACACAGATCGATATTATTAATAATATTTATTAAAGTTTATTAATTATCAATGGTAATTTCTGAAGTATCGCCACCAAATATCGGAATTGCAATATCATAAATATTCTATATTTTAATAAAATGCTGGTTTTAATTAAAATCTTTTTATCGAAATAAAGCTTGCATTGAACTAAAACCTATTTTTAATTAAAAATACGGTGTGTATTCTAATAAGACATTATTCAAAGTAATAACACATTGATGGAATATCAGACGCTAGCGCAAACAAATACTAAATACTTGATCGACAGATAACTATTTTATTGCGCGCGATTACAATTGTTAACTGTAAAATCCTATAATGTCTCGAGAAATTTAAGGACGGACTTAATGTGTGGATTTAATAATTTAACAATTCGTATAGCTATAGTTTTTCCCGAGATTCAAAAAGACACTATTAATACTCGTATCAACGAAAAGTAAAGCAATATCGTAGGGGATTCGGTTATTAGTTACAAAATGGCGGACCATTAAAATTAATCTCGGCGGACGACCAAAGTATTATTTCACTGATTAGGATAATCGAAGCATAATTAGCAGCGTTCCACGTCTTTCTGGATGATATGAACGCTCTAACGTAATGGCGGGCAATCATCTACAATGAAATTGTAACTTCTGTAACGTGTCTTTACGCGTCCTCTCCCGTATCTTTTTTTATAGAATTCCTCAATAAAAGGGCTAGAGCCGCTGAGGTGGTATTTTTAATAAAAAAAACCATATTATTAAAATGACGTATTATAAAAACGTAGAGAATTTATTAAAAAAGAAAAAAATAATGGAGACGCAAGCAACGTCACGTTACTCAAAATCAAAGAAACGTGCGAAAACGTTTCGATTCGTCGTTCAAAACCGCTTGCTTTCTTCCACAATGTTTCTCTTTCCGTCGATTGACAGTGGATCCTCGTGTTTTTCGCCAAAGCTATTAGCGCCCGACGGGTTTTCACGCATTTTACATGCACTCGTTCGCGCGAGTGCGCGGCTCTCGGTCCGAAATCCGTAATCCTTTTGATCTGGTTGAGTCGCTCTGGTTGCGCAAACACACACACGCACCGTCGCCGGGGACTCGGTGCGCGCCTCTTTGAGGCGGTACGAAAGAATATTCGGCGTGTGCTTTCCGAGGGGCACCCGCCGCACGGACCACCCTGTCTGAAAATATAACCGCGCCCGTGTCGCGCCGATGCCCGGAACTTAATACGCGAGTCACGCGAAGTGACGAGACGCAAACTGTGTTTTCGTTGCATCGGCGCGAGATCCGATCTTCGCCGGAGTGACGTTTCGCACCTGGGTCAACTTCCTTCGCGAGGACCCCCCAAAACGCCAGTTAACCCCTTTGCCGCTTCTCTGTTCCCCTCCCTCTTCCAGCCGCCTCCCGCTGTCTCTCCACGCTCGTCCTCTTTTTTTTTCCTTTGCTCGTGTCTTCCGGAGAGGGAAATCCTGTCCGCGTATTTTCTCATCTCTCGCATCTCTCATCTCTCCGTCGAACGTAGGAACGTTACACGTCGAACATGTCACCGAGGTATAATACACGAGAGAGGAGGTACCTCTCCAAGTATCTCAGAATATACATAGATGAACTTTTAGTTTAGGTAAGCTTTGCGCTTTTTAATTAATTAAATTTAATTGAATTAAATTTTAATTGAAAACGCGATATATTCAGTCTTGCTATGTGCATGGATAGCAACAGGATTACCTTGATTTCATTTCAACGCGGGAAGAAACGCTTTTTACAGTGGAAAGATCGCAAACATCTGAAATTACGCGGTAATTTCCCGCCGGCATGTGACAGTGTCGCGTGTTAAAAAGATTCCCGGATTCGTTATCTCCCTTCGGGCGTACTTTACAGTTGGGTGAATCTGCGAATTTCATGTTCACCATGAATGTACTGTCTGGCCTTATATAATGAATGACGAAGGTGCGATCAGACTTATTGTCGACCGCGCGCGCGCACCGGTAGTGGGATTATTATGATTAATTTCCTGCCGATGTGCGAGAAAGGCCTAGTCACGATTTTTACTCAGCGGGCGAGCGTTGCTTTTCGCTCGTGTCTTTAAAGCGCGCAGATGTGTAACGGCGATCGATCATTTTGTACGTCGTAATACTTATTTGACGGTCGTTAAGTGCACTCGCCGTCACTCCTTCCTTGAAAAATAATGCGCGATCTTTTTTGCCGCGCCGAGACCGATTTTTCCTTCCACAGGCACGGCGATGTACGGTGTGTGATCCACACGTTACCGTTGCTCCACTCCCACTCCCGCGGCTTGGAGAAAGACGAGCAATTTTGCAGCAAGCGGAATGAATGATGAACGACGATCACTCGCGTATTCGATAATGCCTGTTGATGTCCATTCATGCTAGATGATATCAAATAATGATTCGGTGGCATTGTAAATGTTGGCGCGTTAATAAGTTACGATAATGAATTGCGAAAACGGCCAAGAACGATACGATCTTTGTAACTTTCTTCTATCAGTAGTCAAGCTTGGTGAGCGTTATATTTTTTGCATAACTTTTTATAACACGTCGGCTGTCGAATGAGTTAATTCATAGTTGGCGACCTATAACGCCAGCTATTCGTCGATTCGATTTTTTGAAAGGGGGAAATGAAAATTGTACCTATTGTGAGTTTAGATGCAGAATAATTGGATAGTATATTTAACCCTAGACAGACTCACTTATTTTTCTCATACGTGAATGACTCACTGGGGTAATACGTTACCCCAAACTTGTACCGCGTGTATAATATTTCCAGAATGTTCTTAGAAAACTTTATAATAGATAATTTTGTTTGTTGTTTAATAGGGAAGACGATAGTAGTCATCAATTTGCGGTAGTAAAAAAAAAACAGTAAAAAAATTTCGAAAAACAAAACAAAGAACCAAAAATTTGGTTGAAATGATGCGAATTTGAATTTCGCGTGGGGTAACGTATTACCCCAGTGAGTCTGTCTAGGGTTAAATAACATGTTCATATAAGAATACGAGAGACAAAGTTATCGAGTTATACACAGTCAATGTGTTGTTGATATTAATAGTGTAAATACTGAAAAAAGAAAAGATGAGATACTTTTTTTACTCAGGGTGGGTGGTGGATTCTCTTCGCGGATTCTTAATAAGCCGAAAAACCGAAGAAATGTGTTTCGCTCTGTCGATTTGATACCCTGATATTGTAACATAGAAAATATATAATTATCATTAGGTTTTATCGATGATGTACGAGTCAGATATCTCTTAAACTTTTCGATGGTGTATGAAAGGCTTCATAAAGTAACAGATGCGCCGTACGAAGATAAGCAGATAAAAAAACGCGTGTGTTTGCCTATCAACTTTTATCCGTTAGCCCGCATATCTCTCCGCGATCTCTGAGCAAAGAGGCTAGGCGCCGGTAGTGGCGGCTCTTCCAGAGATCATTTCCCTCGTTTCCCTCTTTTTCTCTTTAATGCCAACAACGTCAAAGATAAATGAGCTTTTTGTCGTTGAAGTAGGTACGTGTGCCGTGAGAGAATCGCATCCCGCTGTTGTTTCTCGCGCCGTATACATGTGCGTGACGCGTATATAAATGCAAATAACGCATGTCGGACATACTTTTAATTAGTCATATTTACATCGATACTTCTAATTTTCGAAAGATTTATCTGATAGAGAAGAATTTTCATGCTGGGATATTATTAGTTTGTTTATATAATGCTCTAATTTAACACATGAAAAATATATATATATATATATATATATATATATTTTTTTTAAATACATATATTAAAAATATATGAATAAAGGTTTATTTAAACTACAAACGTTTATATGCGAGGAACATATTAGGAGCTATCACGGACGAAAGGTCAGACGTATGGCCGCAAAGTCAATCAATCGGAAAGAGAGAGGCGACTCGGTCTCTTCCCGAAGACTCTCGAAACTCGCAGGTCGACGGTCGGGACCTGAGCGGCGACTCGTTACCGTCAACATAATTGCTAGAGAGGAAGCACCGTAAAAAGAATCAAGTACGCAAACACTCTTACTGATAATCTCGACGGTCGACGGGTCGCCAGAAGAAGGAACCTGTCGCGCGTTGAGGTCTATGCTGGTCTTTCAATCGGGACGGAATCAAGCGAGCGATTCGCTTATGTTCGCGAATAAACGCTGTCCGAACGTTTAACCAAATCCCGTTGGTTTTGCTTTTGCCCGTACGATTTTGATGAAATGTTGAACCAGAAGATATTTGATCGTTCTTTGTATTCTTACAATGTTAATTAAAAGTCTAAAAAAAGTGCAACGCTTGCTAAACTCGAACCGCTTATAAACTATATTTTTATTTCTTAAATTTTTAAACGTTAACATATTTTGATACAATAAGTTCGTTAATGTGCTAACTTTTAAATATATATAGATTGCTAGAATTTGTAAAGATCGGATATCATGAAAATTTTGCATACGCAGGTCAAAGAAAACAGTTCGATGTTTCAAACGATCAGTAACAACGTTGACATTGAGTTTGATTGACATTGTGTGCGAGCAGCTATGACTACACGATCCGAAAAAATCGTAGAAGTATATAATGGAAGTATGCCAATTTGA